AAGTAGAACAACAGTACACAGAGTTAGGGTAGATTTATTATGACTCGTTCACAATCAAGCGTATGCTCAACAAGGCAGCAATAGAACTAACAGCCAATCAGGATCGGGCCCATGTCGACCAGCAGTATTGGCATAGGCAAGTGTGTGAGGTTGATCGATGATGTCTGTGGAAAAATTATCGATGCGCGGGTTGGCAGAAAATATGCACTTCTGCCGCAGGCACGTATCCAACACCGTCCACCATTGGATGGAGATATAGATATTCCGGCTCTTCTGGTGCTAAATTAACTTATTTAATTTTCCTCCCTCCTCCCCTTCCGGGAACAAATTTAATCCGATCGACGTCCATGGTACGGATCGTTGTGGATATTGCGAGTTGTAAATTCCCGAAGAGTCATTGGTTAGCTTTGTAATCGTCTGGAATCTTTTGATCGTGCCATGTTGTTATTCGTTCCAGTGTTCAGTCTTTGAAATCAGGTGTGATTCGCCTAATCTATGTTCTCTGCTCGGGTTGCGTCAGAGATTTGACTATAATTGCTGACTTACGAACCGGGGAGATTCACTCGGTTTTCGGTGCTAAATTTGATCTCTGTGAGTCAGTCACACAAGCGCCCCTCTATTACTCAAGACGAATTGTAGCCGACTAAGTTCTGTCAAAAAGGTTGCATTTTTTTTACCGAACTCGAGGGGGTTCGAAATTTCACGCGGTTGAGTGTACCGTTCGTTTGTCACATCTGACTTAAAACGTTTGTTCATCGGCTCTGCCTGAGGGTGTATCACCTAGTAATTGCGGGACATGTAAACTGGTTCGTTTCGGGATTATGAGCATTTTCCCATTTTTACATGGATTGTTTCCGTGTATTTAGACCCTAAATCACTTGGACTATTCACCGGCTGTAAATGCTCCTGGAGGCTTCATCTTTGAATTCCGTGGAACGTAATCTTGCCATTTTAATCCCTATGCGTCGAATCATATTCCCAGTATATTATTAATTACATCCATACACAGCTAATATACTGTCCGATCCAAGTCTGCGAATATTGCGCCCGATTGATCCATCTGAGCGACGGACAGAAATACTTCTAAGAGCACAAGGCCATTGTTTCAGACTCTATGTACATTGTGAATTGAAAAATCTGTCATGCAGGTTGTGTCGCTTATGCAGAGCTTCAAATTCATTTCCATTTTCATCTTACTTCAAACTAGGTTTTCACCTAGTATAGCCACTTTATTGTTAATAAGTTTTTCTCACAATTGATACTGTCATTCATTTATCTTGTAATAACCAACTGTCCTCGTTTGCATTCACACAGTTGGAAATGCACAAGACCTGTACGCCATCCAGGAGGCGATCAAACGTGCTCGTACAATGGACGAAGTGGATCGTCTGCATCAGTTGCTGAGCAGTGGACAGTTTGCCGGATTCGCAGTCCAGTGGCAACAACAGCTACGTCTCCAGCAACAGCAAAATCAACAACAACGGCAGCAGGAACAGCAACAACAACTTTTGCAGCAACAACAATCGCAACCGGAGCAACAAGCAGAAGAAGCACAACCGGTCGAGGAAAATCAGGTGAACACCGAGCAAAGTGTTC